AGTAAAAAAAAAAAAAAAAAAAAAAGTCTCAAACATACAAAAACCATGACAACGTCACAGAAAGGCATCCAATATTAACATGAATCCTAGGTAAGACTAAGGAGATAGTCCCAGTAACAGAAATTCACTGCATCTTAAGGAAATACAGTGAAAATGTAAGATAAAAGAAAGAAAGATAAAATGATCAACAAATTTGAATATCTTTGGGGGGTGGGGGAAGGGGGTTAGGGATCGCTGGTCTGAGGTTGCGTGCATGTAGTCTGGCCAGCCAGAAGACATGGGCTGCAGCCCTGACACAGGCACATACTGATTCCACAGACTGGCTGGTATTTCTTAACTTTAAGCTAAAAATTGGGAAATATGTTGTCTCATTAAGCCTAGCAGACAGATTCCTAAAGACCCAAGATGAGTGACAGAACACAGAAGCAAATTATGGGCCAGGAGATAAGATAAACCAATATGTAAAGAGAATATTGTGATGAAGCAGAACCACTATTATAGAACTCGCGCTGCAGACATGCTTAGAGTAAGTTTAGTTCATTCGTCTGAAGCGGTCTGCTCACTCTTAAGTAAACCAACAAAAACTCTTCATCAGTATCCCTTTGGGTTCCAAGTATCTTAACAAGTCAGCATCTACTGCTGGTAGAATCACAGGAAATAAATCAAAATTTGAAGACTTCATTAGATCTATATAGTCATAAATCATGAAAATAAGAGAATAATCACTATGTTATCTAGCAGAGGAATTTTTCAAACAACACTAAATTATATTTTTATTTCCTTTTCTGAATCAAAACCAACTTACTTATCAAAACTGTACTGAGCCATTCTAGCGATGAAAGTGGCTTCTCCAACCACCTGAGCCATTCTGCCAAGAGCTTCTCCTGCTGCACATCTCAAAATAGGGTTAGGATTATCAAGGGCACCCATTACCAATGTCAGAGCAGATTTGCGAACTTCTTCCGGTCCTAATGTGCTTTTATTTTCAGCTAAACCCTACACAAACAGATGAGAAAAAAAACATTCCAAAGGGAGCAAGATAATAAGAGTCATTTTTCTATATATGAGATCTTCAATTAAAAAAATGACAAAACTTTATTTTTGTTTGAATTAATGTTTTTTTCTAAAATATACTGGTATCCTGGAAAAATGATAAAATTTAAAGTGATACCAACAGCAGACACAAACGCCTTATCTTTGCCAACATTTGACCTGTTTCACATACAGGAAGGTTTGTTACACCAGTTTCTTATCCTCAAATGCATCACAGAAAAATGCAGCCTACTGCTACTGAATCTGAGCTAGCTTTACACAGCATACCCCAGAAAAAGGAAGCTTTAAATCTGCCTTGCAACTGCAACATCTCTTTCCACCAGAGAGGAAACCCACAGCTCAGTCATGTTTCTGTAAACATCGTTTAAATCAAAGACATTTGAGGTATATCAAAGCTTTTTTTTAAAAAAAAAAAATTTTACATCTTTGCAAACATTTATACAGTGTTTAGAGTATAGTGTGCAGAGTAATAAAACTAAACTACAACACTGTTTCAGCAGCTTCTTTGGTTCCTATATTCCATTAATAGCACTTTACCTTTCATTACAACTTTCAAAGAGTTCTATTTTTCCTAAAGTGATTAAATACATGTAAATTACAACTGCCCATGTTATAGAGGAGAGGCTGATGGCTCTACCAAAGATTCTCATTTTTATTTCTGGAATCCTAGTTTCAACTCTTACAATTTCAACAGTATTTGGCTACTTAGCATGGCATGGGAAATTCCAGGCATCTGTCTCAGATTTTATATTTCAATTTTTAGTAAAATGGTTCATGTTTCTAAGACATTTTTCTCTGAAAAACTCTTATCAAGTTCTAAACAGAGAGTTGACATTTGACAGATGACAACTTTTGCAAGAGGAATACAACTTTTGCTGCTACCACAAAAATTTTACCCAATTATAAGCTTATAAAAAATGTTTTTTGCCCAACTCCGCTAGAATTCTGCAGTCAAATTCCCAGAATATTCTATTTAATTATTGTGCTCCAAATCACACGCTTAACCAGGTATGTCCCTTAGCTATACATCAGGGCAGATGTCTTAATTCAGAACTAGGAACCAAAACTGAATAGGGAGTAGTTCTTCCTGTGATCTTAATGGTCCTCTAACCAGAATTATGCAGAAGATCGATTAACTTGAACTCAGAAGTCTCAAAAGAGAGCGAGCGAGAGAAAGCGCGAGCGAGAGAAAGCGCGAGCGAGAGAAAGCGCGAGCGAGAGAAAGCGCGAGCGAGAGAAAGCGCGAGCGAGAGAAAGCGCGAGCGAGAGAAAGCGCGAGCGAGAGAAAGCGCGAGCGAGCACCAGCAACCAAACCACAAGGCCTAGAGACTTGCAGGAAAGAAAGAAACAGGAACTGAGGCAAAAAAAGCAGCTGGAGCAGAAATGACGACTGGAAGAGATGCCAGGAAGCAGAAGACTTGGAGTAGCAGGAAAAAGAAATATGGCAAAAACAGTACTGAAAAAGAAAATAGACTGCATATATGCACTAGGTTGCACAGGTAAAGACCTAACACGAGAATCATCTAAAGTGTTAGGCATTAAAACGAAAAACAACTATGTAAATATCTTGTAGTCATTAGAGAGAAGGGTGTGCCATCCCATCCTAAAAGGAATGGGACAAGTCACTCCACAGAGACACTCGTTCTCTCCCTTTTAATCAAGGATACGTAGCCCAGATAATAATGAGCTTACAGTAGGCAGTCATTTTGAGGAAGACAGAAGTTAGATAAGAGGAAATCTATCCAATCTTTATTTACAGGCAGACACCTCTACGAGGGTAGTTTCCTCAGTGCACAGGACTTAGCTGCTCTAAAAGTGAATGAGGACGATATAATGAAGAACATTTGTTTGTCAGACTCGCAAGTTGGAAACCATATAGAACAGCAGCAGTAAAAACTAGAAAAGCCTTTAGAAATTTGACCAGTCGAAAGAAAATTCTGCACTCTAGGACATTTCTCCACAGAGATTGGAGGCTGCACAGGTCACTGAAACCAAACATTTCTCATTAACATTATTTGTGACCTACTGTCTATCTTCCTTACTTGCATGAGGTTTGATTTCCAAGCGTGGAGCACTGCAGAGCTCCTGATCATGCAAGTTTTGTTTACCCTCTGTACTGATCCATGCAGACAAGAGGTGAAGCTACAAACCTCTGAAAAAAATCAATTTTGGTATTCTCCGACTTCCGAGTGCTTGACCGTAAATTTTAGTATAATGTTCTTCTGACAGCCTCTAGTATAGAACATAAATCTATGAATCAAACTGCTGAATTTTGGCATCCATTACACGTTTACAGTAGCTTTACCTTCAAAGCACTAAGAACAGCAGTAAAGATATTCAGCTGCACAGCTTGCTGTCGAACACCTTTAGCTTGCTTGACACATTCAGCAAAGTGATCCAACATCTGTAATCTACAACAGAGGAAAGAACGTAATTTAAGCAATATTCTTCAAAAAAAAAAATGCAAACTAAAATACAGTTGGCAAAAAAAATAAACACATCAAAAGGGTGCTATAACTTCTGCTACACAAGTCAGGCTGCAGGGACGGCAGAACGTATTGGTCCATTTCTCTGCTCCACCTTAGGCAAGGAGAGTAGAGAGTTATTTCTAAATGGTACCTTCTAGCTCTTGTTTGAGCTCAGCCACAGTAAATGATCTGTCCCTTTTGAAGAAAGTATCAGCAAGAGGAGATGAGTCCGCAGAGAACGTCTGGCTATGTAACTGGAAAGCTATGAGGCCAAGATCAGCAAAAATACCACCTCTCCGCTACCATTCAAAATAATGTTACTCTTCAATTTCCTATTACTGTTCAGATTTTCCCCACTTAACCTCACTCCAGGAAGTGTTGCGGGGAAGAGGAGTACTCCCTAAAGAGTAACTCCCTAAGAAGTATTCTCTAAAAGATACCAAGAACAGGAATATAATGAAAAATCTGCATTCTCAACTACTCAGCAGTTCCCCTGTAGCTGGCCACAGAGCTGTTCAGACACAGCCAAATCTTTCCATAGCTAACAACAGCATAGATAAGGTTGAATTACTGCAAGCCAGTCTTAAATCTAACTTGGACTTACAGCAAAATGAGATTGACTGTTAAGAAAAAAAGCTGTTCCCATCAGGATTGCACTGACAGGTAATTTTACTCTGAAACGCAGCTCAGAGCTGCTTTCAACTCTATAATCAATGACAAGTTAGCTACGTTGTATGACAAAAGTAGTTATGATAGCTCGTAACTCTGCAAAGATAACGTGGAACGCACAAGAAAGATAAGCTGAATTCCGTTCCATCTTTTTCATTAGTCATAAAATATTCGCTGAGCGTGAATCAAACAGTTTTACTTGTAGAAGCCAAATGAAAACTAATGGATGCCACTGTTATGTTTCCATACAGGAAGTCTGGGTTGCAAAGACACTACTACTGTTAAAGCAGCAAGAGAAGCGAAGAATCCAGCCTGCACCTCAGAATCTTATTCTTCAAAAATGATAAATTCATGAAATCATCTTACTTTTAAAGTGAGTAGACACGTTTTGAAATCCTGAGACACAATGAGCACCAAATACTGAAATCTGAATTTGAGATAGTTGATTTTAGAGCAGATTCTTGTTAAAAAAAAAAAAAAAAGTAATATAATCCAAAAAACAGGCCATTCGATTCCAAAATTAAACATCGATTTAAACTGACCTATGTTTGTAAGAAACATGAGGAAAAACCACACCAAAGAGAGCCACAGATGCATCAATGACGGATACTCCTAAGGGAAGGGGACCAGGTACAGCTGAATACGCAAATAAATAGAAGACGGATCATGTTCCAAAGCACCACTTCCAGATGCGCTGTTTGGCTGAAGCTGCAAAATGCCATATAATATGAATAGCGCTGAATATATCTTTGCACATAAAATTCAGAAATAGAGATAACCAAAACACATCTGCAGTAGCTAGAACAACTAGGTAATTTACAAACAACCGAAATTCTGCAACGGCAGTGCCCCATGCATACACGTACTAGCAAATCAATTTAAATTCATCATTTTGTTTGCAGGGCCAGCGAAATCCCAGAGGCTCAAAACAGTTAACAACTAGGTAAGTGTACAAACTCTCACGCTTGGTAGTAAGACAAGGAAACTACAGAAAGGCAGATAAATTCCAGTACCAACAGCAGCTTGTGAAGCAGTTACAACAAAGCATCATTTCAGAAAAAAGGCTACTAATTCACTCTTTCTTTGAGCTTTGAGTTACAACACTGTACAAGTTAAAGGATCAGTTTTCATTGTAATGATTCTCTATGCAGAAAGATTTAAAAATAGTATTACAATGACAGACATTTCTACCATAATGCATATACTTCCTAAACATCATTTTTTCAATCATCTACCTTGTCTGAAGAACAACTTATTTTCCTAACGCATTCATTATTTTATCATGAAACAAAAGCTGAGTCCAGTAGCTCCGTATTCTTCTTAAAAGGGTCAAAAAACAAAGCAAACACACAGGTCTCAGGATCTTCATATACTGTAAAAAAATATGACCAAATCCTGGGACTCTCATAGCAGTGCTTCATTGCTACCCACACTGCCACCGTTTTACAGGCAAAAAAGCCAGGTTTCCCAGAAAGCTCTGTGCATTGAATGGCGCATTGGAAGTTTACTGTCTACCACAACAAATACAGTCTATAAAACCCTCTTCCTGTTTGACATGCTGTTCTTTGCTCAGAAACAGTTTCCCCATGGTTTCCCAACACTGGGTATCAGTCGTGGCTTTTGCATCTGCTCCATCAAGACAGATGCCTTCTGAGAAGGCCTTACTATTTTAGACAGGCTGGGGCAGAAGAGGCGTTTTCACCTCCCCTTCTTACTCCAAGAAATCTCCAAGAAACTGAGCTGCAAAGTTTATGATGGCACAGTTCAGCAAATGCTCAGAACAGATACTTGTCTAGAGAGCATAGTTCACTGATAAACCAGAAAGGAAAGCAAAATTATGAAAACAGAGACAGCATGGTGGGTATATTCATGTGGACAAGCACTTTTCTTCATGTCATTAAATCTTGAAACCTATGAGGGTAAAAGGCTTGAAAGAGAAGGCCAGTCCCTTCCTAATCACTACACATTAGGAAAGAAAGAAGGTTATTGTCAGATAGTTTCCCAAGCTATTTAAAATTATTTCCCAGTGAAGTTTCCCAATGCTCCATTTTTCTAAGGAGCACAGAGAAAAAAAGGTAACAATCAACATTAGCAGTTGATCTGAAAAAATACATTACAAGAGACTCCCATAGCAATAATTGCTTCCTTTTATTATGCCAGTGTTTCAAAGATTCACTTTATTCAGAAAGATGGCAAATCCCTTATACTGCCAACAAGACTGCAGCATGCTTCCAAATGAATTGTAAGACTTCACATTGCACCCTCAAAGTTTTATCCTGTTTTGCTATAACGTAATTTGCAATGCGGCTCCCGTGACAGCACTTCCATTATAAAACATGCTAAGTGGAACTGGCAACGTATCTCTTGATTAATAAAAACCATCAGAACAATTGCTAGACTAAGAGGGTCTAGTTAATCTTTAAGAACTAAGCTAGCTGTATAACCACAGCCATATAAATTGTATAACAACATCCACAGCTCATCTGTGAGCAGTTTTATCAAAACATTACACTGTAGACGAAGGGCCTTAAAACTTAGTAAGGCATGAGATAAGCCTAAAAACAAGGACTGAAACTTCAGTTTTTGAAGGGTTCCCCACCACCACCTCCCAGACAGATAATGCAGATAATTCATCTTATTCTTATTCTGTTTTTATACTACCTGGTCTTCAATTGACTTATGATCCGTTTCCTGTAGCCAGGAGCCAAGAAGAACACTATCATCATAATGGCAAAGAGACCTCAGGAGTGATGTGGTTGTATTAGCAGAGTTGTCTGTCAAAGTAAATTCTGCTACCAGTTCTCGAAGAAGTGCATTAAACGATCCTAAAAGGTACAATATTTAAAAGAACCATTGTTGCTTCTTATCCAGAAGATTTAAGCTAGAGTTACAAATGAAAGCATGACCCATTATTTTGATTTTACACATAGCAAACAGCCACAGAAGTAAACCTGACTACACTACAGTTGAGAGCAAGGCTTCAAACAAAAACCAGGGCTCCCAGGTCCCAAATCAACGTTCTAAACAAAGAATCATGCCATTCCTTCCAGGATGGCAATCCAGATTTTACAAATATTTGCTCATTTAAGTGATTGCGTAAATTTACTGAGGGTTTTTGTTTTTTTTTTTTTTTCATTTAAAGCTAATTTGTCAGATCATGTGAAAATGTCTGGTCATTCAACAATACTAGCATAATTCTGACTGCTAGATCAAATAGTCTAATAAACTAACATATCTGATTACACTCATACTTGATAAGGAGAAGAGAAAAAGCTAGAGAAAGAATACAAACAGAACATCTCCAGAGCAGAAAACATTAAAGATTTTAAAAAGAAAAATCTCTAAATGAAACATTTCAAGAACTATACACATTTTCTTGCCCAAAAGCCATATCTATTTTCCATCATTGTGGGTAATGGTATTAATCAAGTGAGCCATCAGATTTTTTCTAAACAAGTTTGTATACTTAAGTAGATAAAAAGCTATTTTGTCCATACTGCAATTCCCCAAAAGTGTGTGATATCTGTTTAGTTGACTTCAATTCTCTTTTTTTTTTTTTTTAAATATTTAGGAAGGAATATATATGTACTTTTTATATTCACCTAGTACTACAATAGAGCTTAAAACAGTTATAGTTAGAAAACAGAATTAACTCTTTATTCCTACAGCTGCTCTTTGTCAGTATACTATGAAATATGTTCTCTCTCTTTTAAATAATAATAACATAAAACACCTAAAGTGAATTTCAAAATGGGAACTCAATACATCTCAATCCTACAAATGTAACTAAAACTTTATATACTCTAAGTGTTACTCTAATATGCAATATTCATACTGTGTACTTAAGCAGTCAAGATGACATCCATGAGATAAGAAATATAGTGTAACACTTCTGGAGACTTCTAGTCTTTTATTTTGAATCTTGTATCTGCATATAACCACACGAATTTGACAAACGAGCTTCAAGAGCAATCACTAAAAATGCGTTAAAAGGAATAACTAGAATTTTTACTTTAATAAAAATTGTCAAAGAGTTATGTACCTTCATATGTCTTTGGAGGTAATAAAGCCAAAATATCATAAAGTCTTAAACGGACCATAGCTGCACTAGCTTTGAGATGAGCTCCGTGGGCTTTAATTACTGATGGAATGCTACAGAATCAAAAGAAGAGAGATGGAAGTCAGAAACATTGCAGTTACTGAAAAAAGCATTTCCATTTTTTCCCCCCCTGCAAGATACCTCTCCTAGCAAAGATAAGAAAACAGTGTTCCAAGAACTATTCTGAACAACATTACTGAAAATTTATTTGTAGTTTGAGAAGTAATTGTTCTGAGGAAACATTTTTTTAAACACAGTGCTGTAATTCAGAGGTGTACCTCCTCATAAAAACACTGCATCTTTAATTTATCCCTCCAAAAACACTCTAGCCCAACACTGCATTTTTCCTTACAGTCTATAAAGTGTTTAAAGTCTCTTCAGTATTCCATCTCGTAAAAGGACACATCTAGTATGAAAGTACATTCGTTTTCTTATTTCTTGTAAAAGGATAAGCAAATGTTGGAGTCACATGCTCAATGAACTGGAAATCTAAAAGACAGTTAACAAAAACTATTGCGGTAAGCCACTTGGTACAGGCTATGTGACGAGATACTTTCACAAACCTAAAGATGGGAATGTTATGCTCATAACTAAAAACAAAACAGTTTTTTCATTATGCACAAGCAGCAATAGTCCAGTGCTAGGCTAAAAGATGAGAAGGCAAATTAATACAAATTTATTTGTAATACTTCAATTCAGGGAATACACAGAAGCAAACAAAGAGCAGAAAGAGCAACCAGAAAGAGCAACAAGTACAACAGTAACTTCTCTCAGTTTTGACAGTTTATATCGTAACAGCAGTAGGAAGTTGTTTTCAAAAGACCATTTTTAGTCTCAAACTGTCCTTCTACAGATTACACAAAAACATTTAGTTTTTAAAACTGTCTACTTACTGTGACATCATGGTCATGGCACATTCTATAGGTGTCATCAATTTCCTGATCACATCCTCAGTAAGAAGCTCAGGGCAGTGAGCAACAAAACTTCTCATAGCTAATAACAAAGTATTTCAAATTAAAATGTTACCGAGACAAATGACAAAGAACGTGAGCAAGATATAGATACTAACAGAATATCAAAAAGCAGCAAATAAAAATGTTTATTCAAGGTCTGTGTGACCTGTTTTTGATGCACAGACTTGTGAACAGGGCACATTTGGTGAAAATATGATATAACTCACTCATTTTAAAAGAAGGAGGAGAAGTTACAAGAGTCCTCTGTATAATATACGGGATCACGTTTTGCGTTATTTGTTGTTGTAATTTTCGGGTTGGAAATTCTTACCACATAGAGCTCCAGCACGGCCTTCCAGCGTTACTTGCCAGGTAAAAGAATCTCCTCTCGCCTTCTCTGCTTCCAACTCCTTCAGAGAACGTGGAAACACATTTCGCCATAGCAGCAACATCTTAGGTAGATGGTACCGAACAACCGACGGACCTATGCAAAAAAATGAGATGACACTATAATACGAACTCTTACTAAATTAAGTATGATTAAAAAACTGCAATGAAGGCTTTGTCCTTTACAGTATTTTTTCCTCACTTCCCTTTCCCCTCTACTGCTCCCTACCTGAACAATGAAAAATAAAGGAAAATCTTTTTCATTTGTATGTTAAAAATGCTGCAAATAAACAGTATAAATATAACTTTTTGTTGATTATCAATTTTAGTACTAAAAATAGAAAGTATGTAATATATAACTCAATATCCAGAACTAGCCATCTGCTGCCAGTCATCTTTTTAACTTTTTGTCAATTGTTTGACTTCCTTTAATTTTTTTTATATTATTATTTTGAAGACAAGTTCTTCAGCCTATCCTAACTTGTTCATATGATGAGTAGAAGACTAACTGACACTTACTGACTAGCTTAACGGTCAAGTTTATAAAAAGTTCCTGAAAAAGCTCCGGAAGATCCAATGCAAGTGCATTCAAAAACGCTCTGGAGAAGAACAGCCAAAATAGCACTGCACTGTTAGAAAAAACATAGGACAGCAAGCTGGCAAAAGAATGGAACAATTTAGAGAAGCAAGAGGAAACATAAAATGTATTTGCTGAGATTGAAAATACTGAAGGATGCATCAGAACTGTCTATAAAAAAAAAATCTCTCAAAATTCAACTTCTGATACTTCTGTGGTGACAGATAAGCACAGACACATATGAGGCTGGATTTTTAAAAAGGTAACTGAATGTTTTTTAAATTGTTAATATTTGTAGTCAGAATTGTTGTTTATCCAGGGACACACGCAAAGTGCAGGAATTTCAGTTGCATTTTGTTTACAGTGCATATACTCCAATACCACAGCAATAATTAGGGAAGGAAGGTTATGGGTAATTTTGCCCTTTTCATACTATGACTACAGGCTAGTTTCCACTCCCTTGCCGCCCTCTCCCTGTCCCCCGCACCCAAAAAAAGCACAGAAAAATTAGATATGACACTTTCTACTGTCATTCAGCTTACATAAACACTAATATTTCACTTTTCCCCAGTATAAACCATCACCGCTGAAATAAAAGCAACAATTCTCTGTTTGGGGAAACGACTGGTATAATACTGGAATGACTGCATGCAGAGACTATTTGCATAATCAGAAATGTTGGGAAAGCATTTAAGTAAAATAAAAAACATCTGTTTTTACAAACCTAAAGTCATAAGTGCTCCAAGTAAAAGCCATCCAGCTTGAGTTCGCTGCAAGGAGAGTCTGCTATTTTGTGCAGCAGTTCGTAACAGATCCTCAGCAATACTGACAACCATCTGCAGCAATGACAGGAAAAAAAAAAAAAAGCAATGGATTTCAAAATATAAATGTAGATAATGGAAGACTGCTACAAAATCACCCTTAAAGATTATACATAGAGACAGTTTCAAATCATGTAAATGGACATTCTATAAACAGCAGATTACATTTCATGCAAATAATTACCCTATGCTCACAACAACACAAAGTAATGTTTTCATGAGTAGCTCTACATTAACATGCCAAATGAGAATTAAACTTAGAAAAAGAAAAGAGAGGGGAAAAAGAACGCTGGTAAATATTGCAACTGAAATACTGCATATGAAGGTTCTGGCCATCGCTCTTACTAAGCACAGCTTAGCTTTTCAATGCTCTAACTTGTTACCACGTCACACAATCGCAAAGCGATTCTAGATAAAAAGATTCTTTTTAGCGTACTCACATATTAAACGCTCATTATCTCACCTTTCCTTTGGCATGAGGAATACCTAAGGGACACTGATGCACACCACCTAGTAAAGCAGCCATAGCAAAACTGTAGCCGCTGACAGCTTCAGGGGAAGTCTTCAGATTGTTGAGTCTTTCTGCGCATCTATCCAAAAATGGAGTCAACTGAAAAGGCAATGCCACAGCTACACACCGTAAGCACCATGCAGCGGCAAGTCGAGCAGCCATGCTGGGATGAAGAAGAACTGAAGTTACTGTCTCCAACAGACCTAAAGGAAAGAGTTTATAGCCATACAATTATGATGCATTTTTTAATATACGTAGACAAGTAAACTGTATCCAAATTCGACAGGCAATATAAAAGTTAAGAAATGCCAGAACTGAAGTTTTGTGACTTATCCTTTTTCTTTAAGGAAAGGCAAAAAAGTTACTAGCATCATGCTGATCTGCATAAGGTTTTACCAGGAAAATCAGAGCTGTCAGAGCCACAATGCGGCCACTTGAACTAACAGAGCAACTGAAAAGAGACAGTAATCCCACATACGGGAACAAGCTTTGAATGGGACAATGCCTAAACTTTGTCCATCTTTTACAATCTGTCAATAACAGAGCAGCAAATAAAAGTGATTTTTTGTTTTGTTTCACATAGCAGACAAGCATGTGCTCTATAGATGCCACTGACCACTGTACTCTGTGCAGCGTGCTTTTGACAGAACGCTCTGCTGTACACAAAGTTACCATCCTTCTGCACTCTCCAAACCTCTATGCCTAGCTAGTCCTGCTTTCTAGCAACCTCAGTCTCCAACACCCGCAACTTCCCTAGCCCCGTCCTCTAACCCTTACCTACTCCTAGCTCACGTCTCCCACTGATGCCTTTTCTCTTGTGCTCTCTGTATCTAGTCAACAGCTTCTACTCATCTTATTTCACAGTAGCTAGCAGAAACACCACCAAGATACAGTTCCCTTTGCTCTTTGTTCTTGCAGGACACAACAGCCAGAAGGAATAAATGCAAGCACAGTCTTCCTCACCCCACAGCTCGTACAAAATCAACAGGAAAAGAATGTTGTGTGCGCTAGAAAACAATCTATAAATGAAATGTCTAAAGCGGCTTGCACTTCCATTGGAAAAAAAATAGGAATCCACACATTCAGAAAGATAAAAACAGTGCAGCTCTACAGTACAAATATGGATCCAGATTAAAAAAATAAAAATAAAAAATGCAAACACACACCAATCGCGATCAACTGTATGCAAATAATAAGCTTTCGAAACGGGTCTATCCACAGGTTCATCTCCTGATAAAACCTCCTAAAAAAAATCTCCTAATCTCCCCAAAAAAATTTGACACCAGAAAGCGAAGTACCTTTCCAGAAGCAAGTGTTTTAGAACTTATAGAGAAAAACAGTGCATTTTCTATAATATCATTATCTGAAAGTCATCAGTACTGAAAACAAAACTTCACATCCCAAAAAGAGAACGTCAGGCAAGCCTTCTGTCAAAATAATGGGTTAAAACTTTGCCAAACTTCAAGTTAGGGTACTATAAAATAATGAGCTGAATAAATAGCAAGATAAATTACAAGGAGTGCCAGTCTCATCACTTTGTTTCTTACACAGTACTTTATTATTTAACAAGATTGCAATCATGCTTCATAATAGTTTCTCAAATGTCTCATATAAGGTACTTAAATTGATTTAAATACCTATGGAGGGTTCTTGAATAAGAGGAGATGCAGTGGCATTCAGACTCTGAACCAGACTACCCAGTTCTTGAAGGGCACAGACCATTACGTGTTGGCTTGCAGCTACATCAGCAGCTCCTGATTTATTTTCACTGTTAGCATCATTCACTACTGCTTCTGTAGAAAAGAAAACAAAGCATCCTGCTTAACTGTCACTTGAATGACAGGTAAACACCTACAGATAACAACAGGGGACAGAAAGGGACAGCTTAGTTTTGACATCAACTCTAAATATTGAAACAAAACCACAACTTTTCTCACAGTATGAGCTGGCAAAGCAAGCACATTCTGAAGAAAAACGCTTTACAGTTACTAGCCAAACACAAAGTGTCCAAAGACCATGAATAACAGATGCTCAGAAGATCCCAAGTTACTGTGGATGGCAGTGCACTAAAAGGTAGGATTAATAACATAACACAGCAAAGGATATACAGATGTGCAGCATGTGTGCATTGTATCTATATTTACATATATATACACACACACTCCTATAGATGAAGTTGTTAATAATATAATCTTGACATATCTAGGTTCTGCATATGCCTTTTCACGCATGTATCTGGAATAAAACTGTTAAAACTTAATCTTCAGTAGATAACCACAGCCTTATATTTTGCTTTCACCTCCAAGTTATCTAACTAATTTCAAAGATTCCACTGTATGTTCTTTCTCCTACACTATGTCACAGAAGTAGCATATGGGAAAAGAAGCTCCAACTGTCACTTTAAAGAAAAGGGGCTTTAGTATCAGCTTAATATTTATATGTCTAATACAGTACAAATTTAGCAAGTAGTCCTCCTTTTATGAAAAAACAAATTCAACAGAAATGCTCAAAAAAACCTTAAGTTTTTCCCATCATCTAACTATATAATGGAATTTTCTGTAATGATAAGGAGGTGGTGGAAGGGGACATTTCTGCAACTCTGTCATCTCAGAAGCTGCATTTCCAATAGACTTCTTTCCTGAAAGCAATATTTACTATAATCTTTACTTTAAAGAGAACCCTGTTTAAAGTCCCAAGTAATCTCAAACATACCTTCCCTATTAAAAAAAAAAAAAGGGGGGGGGGGGGAAAAAAAAAAAAAAAAAAAGAAAAAAAGAGCTGTAAGAAAAACCTGCAAGTGTTTTAAAAAGAAGTGTGATTCCATGCGTTAAATGTTACTTTAAACTCAAAACTAGATGGCAGCATAAAAATAATGAAGCAGTAGAAATAGTTGTCCAGTAAACACATTGTGATGCAATTTTAGTTTACTTCCTTAATCTCTAGCTCAAATTAACCCATTTTATAAGAAACATAAATGCCAAAACAGTTTTAACTATCAACCCCCTTAGTGATTACATGTCAAAGGTTCTGCAAAGGGAATACTTATCTACTGTATTACAGTCTCCAGATTACATTTTTGTTATCGGTAAAATCCAATTAAATAGCAATACAGATATTAGTAGGGGATACATAAGGACATATATCCGGCCTATAGGATCTTCAACGCTGGTCATAAGGAACTCTGATTTTCAATACAGCCTACCCCAAAATAGATTGAAAAAGCATACTCTTCTCCCCCTTGCCTTCCAGGCAAACGCAATGGAAAAAGTCCTCACAGCATAAAGAGCCAATTCTACATAATCACTTTTCAAGTAGAACTTATCTTTTGGATATCGTATTTCAAACAGAAAGCATCTGAATAATCTTTTACCATAACAATAAAATTACTTCTCATGGCAGAAGGAAGTGGAAAAATGGCTGACCCTATCGAATGACAGCAACTTTCAACAGGTCTCAGATAAAGAAAAACGGTTCTCACCCACAGCCTTCATCTGTTTACCAATGGCTTGACATATATCTTTGGCAGCTGCAATCTGGGCTTTCTCCCCCAGTAAGCTGCCCACAGTCGCTCTCAGAATAAAGGACACGCATCTTCGAGAGTACACTGCCTCCACGTGAGTCTGAGTTGCACGAGGATGGGAGACCAGATCAAGTACATGTGATAAAAACGTAGCAAAGTTGCGCTCCAGCCACTGACCTCCTAATGTTGTAACAAAGACAACATAGGCCTGCAAATACATAAGTTATATACAGATTCAATTAAAATAGAAAAAAAGGTTATACTCAGTCACCAAAGACTAAACAATTATAGGTAGATAGTTATACTCATGCATAACGTAGCATAATAGTTATATCAAAGTTAGCTATAAGCAACCCTAAAAAGGCTAAGTAAGATGAATCAATCCATTAGCCAGCTCTCAGCTGCTTCAGCTAAGCCGTTTCCAGTGCCACAGCTGACTCCAGTACTGCTACATATACTGTAAAGTACAAAATACTCTTTGGATGATTGCAAGAAAGTCTAGTCCACTGCTCTAAACAATTGTCACATTAAAAAAAAAAAGTCAGTAACAGCAAGTTACATGAATGTGTTTCAACTGAAAATAGCGACTCAGCATTTTTGTCAAAATCACTTGAAAAAGACCAAGAAAATAAAAGGGCTTAACAAAACAGCTTAGGAAAAAAAGAAATCTGGATTCTGGAAAGTTACTGAGGTATACTGAAATATACATCAGCATGGTCACCCTGAACTGGAAGATGTGCTGCTGCCGTCTTTCTCTATTACGAATTAAAAAAGCAGACCTTCCACGTTTGGCAGATTTCACCTACTAAAGGAAGACATGTGGAGAAAAGAAACACCATTTAATGAGCTAGGGCTGTAAATTTTACCCAGCAAACAAAAGAGAGCCAGCACACACAAAAGGACAGAAACGTGCCCTGTCTCAAAAGAAGTAAGATTTAAATAGGGAGCTAAAGTCTTCAATGTTCTAAGTTTTCAAATATTTGTAGATATACTAAGATATACTGGTCAAATAAGCTCTCCTTAGTATACATTTTAATCGATAAGTACTGCACATCAACAATAAAAGAAAATATCTTAGGCAAGTGACACTGCATATACATCTCATGTAAAAGGTGAGTTAAGCTGTTTGTTATTCAACTTATAAAAGACAAAAAAAAAAAAAGACCGTAAGTGTACATTTTTCCTCCCTAAAGGGTCATAGTTGATATATAAATGTTACTTTATTTAAAAAAGATGACCAAATGAAAATTTCTCCAGATTATCACAAACCTGGGTAACACCAACTCGCACTTCCCTGTTGACAGATCCTCCTACTTTTAACATCTCTCCACCACTCTTTAGGAAACCAGAACCGCCTCGCAGAAATCCAGTGGCCATGAGTTCCAAGACTTCCTCAAGCGTAGCTCTCTTCACATTCTGCCGCATCACTTTTGCAAAGATAAAAGCAATCATTTAATCCCAAAGTTCTCCAAACAATACAATCAATAATCTTGAAAGCAGAACTAATCATTCACAATCATCTTGCAATCATGAATCCAGTCATCATTTCGGATAACTGCTCATTTTTTTTTATTTAAAAATAAGCTACTTCTCCCTAGTTATTTTTGGTGGTCAGAGCTCACTCACTCTTTCTTTGTATGTCTACAATAGAGAATCTGCATACTTCACTCAATTTAGTTTAAAGCTTGTAATAGAACAAAACAATTCAACGTGCATACCCCCATGAACTGGAACAACAAAATATCATGCAACTCTGTCACATAATACAGTACCAAAGGTGCAGTCTGTCTACTTGAAAACGGAATCCAAAAAGGAACGTACCTGTTGCTTGTTTTGGTATTAGTGCTGTAGCCATGACCGTCCCCAAAAGCTTTGACACCGCAACTCGCACACCGTAGTTTGAGTTTTCCAGAGCCTTAAAGCAAAGCGTTGCAACATTCTCCAGTTCAGCCGTCCACATAAATACAGCTTCATTTTGTAATTCCAGTAGACACTGTAGAAAAAAATATGAGCTGCTGAGCACCGGTGGAGACTATGCTTACCTTTTGACTAGATATCAGGATACTTATCAGATTTACTCAGCAAATGTTTTGTTAATGAGTATCTTAACTTTTTCCCCACTGCCTCACTTACCCCAGATATTCTTAACAACTTCCCCACTGCCTCACTTACCCCAGATAACATAGCTGGAGTAAACACTTAGAAGAATCATGGGATTAGGTTAACAAATAAAATAAATAAATAAAAGGAAAATACACCCAAAAAAATTGTGTTACCAAAAACCTCTCCCACTGAGGCTCACAGCTAATACATTCTACCTCCTATTTGTCTATGAAGGAGGGAAGACAACGCTACTGTTCTTTGGCTTATGTGAAGTAATTGGTCGCATGTCTGAGCCTTCAGCATAAACTAAGAAGGACTTATCTTGCCCAAATAATTACCAAATTTCACATCATAAACAACAGGTGAAAGCCTGACTGCAGGCACTTCACAGTCATAGCACAAAGAATTTCTAGAGCTGATTAGAAACACTCACCTTAGCTACTGCACATCGTACAGCCATAGATCTGTCTGTCAAGAGAGATCGGGCATTCTTATAAATATCACGGTGACAAGAAGCTGCTGCTCCTCCAAGTCCATTTAAGACTTTCTGTAAACTCATCAGGATTTCACTGCGGCCCTGTGACTGCACATATGAAGAGGAAATTTAAAAATGTTTATGCAAATAGATAGATACAGCATTTCTATCAAGTAGCAGGTGTGTATTTCTGTGTTTTTCTGCATTTATGCACGCATATTTTGTGAACAAAGATAATATGTTTCACTGAAGTCATATATAACAAACACCTAGCTGTTTTTAGATAGTGCTAAGCGCTATACCTAACCTTACTGAAACAGCCTATAAATTAAGATGAGGCTAAGCAATTCAACAGATCGATCCTAGGCAGAATGCTTCTTTTCTACTCCACCATTTGTCTGCTGCAGCCTCAGAAAAAACAAACCAACCAACCAACCAGCTGATACGAAAGAACAGGAAGCTCAGACAGTCAAAGGCTTCCAACTACTCTTGCACCTAGGTACTTAAAGCCACAAGGCACTGAAACCACACAGTATAAGGACCCAGCTGAAGAAAAAAGCTCTTGAGGTAAAATGCAGATTTGTTCTCCATACACAGCACTGCTTAAAAAAAACCAAAAAAAACCAAAAAAAAAACCCACCACACACACTAAGGATCCCATGGTCTCCTTGACTCTCACAAGAGAAGTCCCTGCTTCTATCCCCAACAATGGGATTATTGTAATATTAATTACTGCATATATATTTATGTTCAGTAAGAAACAGGAATCAAGATCAGTACACTCAGTACCCCTTCCAATTTGTCACACATTTCAAAAAAAAAATTGAGCTTTTGAGCCTGCTAAGTTTACATCAACAGAACTCTGAATCAAAAGCAGTTTTCCTGAGCATGCAGTTTTACTGAGGCTAAATGCAAACTGCCTAGCTATCACTAGGGCAAAACTTAAATGAAGTTACTTTTTTAGCTCAACAAAATTATCCCCACAGAATGCTTAAATTTTAGAATCTGCATTTTTTTTTAATTCTCTAAATGAAAAAATAATTCCAAGAACAAACATCATGGTTTGGTAAGCCATACTGAAATGTCCTGTAATGTCCTGTAAAACAGGACAATAAGGCAAATCAGACCCACGGACAGCCCAGAACATGATCTCACAATACTACAATACTCTCTGTTCAGGAAAGAACATACTCTGCTTGCAAGAAGAGTAGTATCTTTCTTGCAAAACTCAAGCATTACTTTTTCCATTTTAAACAACTGAAAATGTATTCAGGGTACACGAGAGGGAACCCTAACACGCTAGTTATAATGGTACATGTAATCATTTTAATCACTGATGTCAGAATGAAGCAACTGCTACAGCATTCATATAAAAAAATATAAATTCTCTCTGTAGTAAAAAAATAAAAATAAATGCACCTGTTCAACGTGATACTAACTACACAAGTGATTTGAATTTTCCTAAGTAGCAGAAAATCAAGCTATTTTGGCAAACACCTTTGGAGGACACGGGTTTCAGTTTAAATGAAATCAAGACTGCATATATAACGTAGGCTGAAACTTACCTCTGCACTTTTCAAAGACTTTAAAAGATTATTAACGGTTTCTGGAAAAGAACTACCCAGCATTCTGCCCATTTTTTCGTAAAACGCTCCAACACATGCCACTGCAGCCCTATGAAGACAGGCATTCATCAGTGTACTCATTTTCTACATCATCCAAATGAAGACGAATAGTTAAATATAAAGGCACATTTTTAATTATCTTTGATGAATAAAAAATCTATCCACTGCGTTATTCTGGCTGCTTAATTCTGTATTTAAAATACTTCATTGATTAAAAAGAAAGTAACAGAAAAGTTATCAGCTACTAAGAACGTAAATGTATTTGGATGGATATTATTACAGGACCTACATACGGAACGAGAAATTCCAGAGAAGACAAGTATATGCTGCAATCTCAGCAAGATTAGGACACTACCACAGTTTCAATAAACTATCTCTTTTCTAAGCAGCTGCAAAGTTGTAAACAACATAATCCCACCCATGAACATATTTTCCTAGACATCAAATGAGACTTTTTTCAAGCACAAGAACTTAAAATGCTTAAATAATTGCACATTGCAAAAAAATGTATGGGTGCTACAAAATCACTGGGCCCATAAACACGCTATATATGCCTTTTCCTTCCACTGCCATTTGAGATTAGGGGTATTTTAAGTAACCTTGTCCTTCAGTTAGATATACTAGTTGCTTCAGGAGAGCCACAGAAGCAGCTCCTGAAAACACACATTTTTTTCATCACAAAGAAACAAGGTTTTCTGGGTTTTTTTTTAAACTAAAGTTCTTGGATAAATGATTATTTGGCAACTGATAGCATTATCAGTTAAAAAGATATTTGCTACAAACTCAAAGCCTACCACTTAACTGACATGTCTTACACAATTCTGCAATTAAAAAGAAAAAACCACCCAAAAAAACACAACTGCAGCTTGAAGTCATTAAAGTCAGTAAAAAGACTCCTGGACTTTCACTTAAAGTCAGGAGAGTAAATTGCCGAGATCGTTATAGCACAAAACCCTTCCCACTTACATAAGCTTCTCACAGAGTTGCAACAGCTTCTAATAAAAGGAAGACACTTTCTGCCCAAATTGTGACTATTGGATTTTATTGTTAACCCCTACTATTATGGCAATGCCTAAGGACAAGCCTAAATTAGGGTTCACTAAATGCTGTGAATATATGAAGCAGTATGGGAAGGATAGTGTTAAAAACAGTTTCAGCAGAGATTTTTTGTGGCTTTAACTGTAATTCCTACCAATGAAATTGCTTCCATATCTAAATACAAGCTGAATCACATAATCATGCACATTTACATCCAAATATAGAGACTCTATGTAAGAGACTTGTGCAGTACATTACAGCAGAGGAACATAAGCCAGCAAAGCTTAGGGGAAAAAAAAAAGATTTAGTTAGAACTCTCTCTTGGCACAGATAATGCTCCAGTTCTGGCAGTCTGCAGGTTTCACCTTGTCTTACATTGGATACTTAAACCCAACTAGTAAAAAGGCAAACTGGAAGAATTTCTTCATTGCATTATTTCACCAACTGTTAATTATCTTCCTAATGATACAAACATGTAAATAACCACGAGGCTCCTTGTGTAGAGGAAACTATCTCAAGTTCAGATAGCCACATATCTATCGCCTTTGAATCCTGCCCTCCACAATCTCAATCCTGCTCTTTCTTCTGTTACGCTAAGCGTATGTATATTTGGCATGCTTGGAGTTTAAGTAAGCCACAAAACGTGCACATACACGGGCTGATATTTTGTACTATCCAGTACCACTTTGCTTAAAAAAAAAAAAATCATTCCCTCACTCTTAATAATATTAAGCTTACAGTTTGGTGGGCAGGTAAGCAGCAGTATCATCTTTACTCTTGATGATGTCATTACATTTGTCAAGCGTCTGAAAAACAGTAAACGTGTCTCCAATGCTGTAGAGAGCAGCAAGATTTTTTGCGAGTAGTTTCCGCGTCGGCGGTCCAGGGGAACTGCTGATGAGTCCCGTTAGCTGTTCTACAAGTTTCTTTTGTTTTTCCTTGACATCCGTCTGTTAACAGGACAAAAATTATTAAGAATAAGAGAGGCTGTCTAATCCTCTGTCTTGTCTCCAAAAACAGTCAGCAGCAAACACCTACAGGAGACTGAAGGAAACCTTATACCACTCCCACATATATGTAATTCAACAAATTGCTTATCTCACAGAGATTTGAGATACACTCAAAATTATCAGAGACAGATGCTAAATGATCAAGATCAGCCATTACTGTGTTTATTTTTCATCTTTTAAAAATTCTTATTAAAAATGTAATGTTACCCCCCTAAAGCATCTTTTCATCCTCTTCACCATCAAGAATCCCTACTCTGGGAGAGGTTTTACCTTCCAAAAATGTATGACACCGAAGAACTCGGACCAAACTAAGTGTTTTATAACAGAGTGTCATACTGAGTGCCTATAATTAGACGCTAAAAGCTACAAATTAATACAGTAGCTCTGCACGCTGAGTCTGAAATCATACAGTTATCATCTGGACATTATCTGTTATCTTTCTCTAGCATAAAATTAATGTGTGTGTAAGTGTTTAGAAAAAGGAGAAGAATTACCTTGTTAGCAGCTACAAACACTTTGTCCAAAAATCTTAACCACTCAAAGATAAAGACTGGTCTCTTTGCTTCCGTGATTTGAGCTAACGCTTCTTCATTCAGTAACAAACTATGAGCCAGCTCCATTATTCATTAAATTCCAGTTTTATTGTAGAGTTGTGTATTGACTTTAAAACAAAAAATAAAATATTACTATACAGTGCAATACAACAGCACAAAGCTTTCATCATCTGTTTTCAAAGTTATGGATTACAGCATCACAGTTGAAGTGTGCTTAGACTCAGCTTAACTAAACAGTCTCATATAAAAACTACTTACATGCTTAAGACTGAGTACATCCACTAGTATTTCAGAGATCAGAGTCATAAACAGTAAAAAGTGCATCTATTGGCAACTTCAGGGTATTAATTCTTTGCCAAGAAAAATATTCTGAAATCTATAAAGGAGTCATTTCACTTTCTCCTCTGACATAAAACAGAATAAGGACTACCACTAAGCATGACCCTTCCCCCATCCCTGATGCTTCGGCATGAACTTGGCCACTTTTCAACATCTTCAACAGACAGGGTGAGAAACAGATGAACCCATCCCAAGGGCTGGTGAAGAATCAGTGGCTTTTTTGCTTTGAGAAATGATAAAATGATTCTTTCCTCTGAAGCAAAAGCATGCATGCATGTTCTGAAGCACAAACTGTGGGTTTCACAGCACAAGCACAGCACAAGGCTTGCATTCCACTAAACATAGCTCCAGAACACAGCGGAGCTGCAGAACTGATCACATGCAAGTAACAGCACTACATTAAGTAAGACAGAATACACATCATCTAGAAATAGGATTCATCTGGGCTGCTCTAGAATATACTACTAAGAATCACAAGGCAATCCACCAACATATCCTCCAGTAAAATTCCACAGCAGACAGTCCTGTGGCCTAACAGAGTTTTGCAGTTGAAATGTTAGGATGGCCCAAATTAACTAACTGTGCAACAGAAACAGTAAGAGAAAAGGGAGAAAAACTGTATTATTAGACTTTCCCATACAGACATTCCTGCCACCACAAATTTGAGAGAGGCAGGAACGTTCACAGCATTTAGAATCATAGACCTAAAACTTCCCAGACCCTACCAGTCTTGTTTTAAGGAGTAGGCAAACAAGCCCTCTGAAATCCTGCAAGCCCTGTGTGTCACAGACTGGAATATAAGCAGCAGCCAAGCGAGCACAAGTCTCCCCAGCAGGCAAAATACTACAGATCAAGTACCTAAGATCCAGCTCAGTCAGCGGGTGTGGGGCTAACAAAAAAGTACTACCAAAAGGGTGCTCTCGGCGCAAGCACTCTGCAAACAATGATTGTTACCTTAGTATACCCTATTTAAACAAGTGCAGAATAGACAGACAAAGCTTATCTGAAAATCACAATGAAAGCTGACCCTCTTCTGCAGAACAAAAACAAAAAAACTGAATTCAGTGATGCTGTAACTACGATCTCGGGCAAAACAGAAAAAGTAAAGCAAACAAAGAGTATTATCTTTCTGCAGGTGCGTCCTTCTGCCTGTATTCTCAAGACAGTTATTGTGCTCATGCCTGCTTCCTCATTTGTGAGCAAACCTAACAATTCCTTTAAGTCAAATGAAGAGATTTAAATTAAATGGTCTTTTTTCCCCCCCTAAACCCAGAGCAGCCAGCAGTAAAGGGTGACATATTAGTAGTAAAACTGTATCATCGTTCTAAATTTACCTTAGTAGTTAGGCGTTGACAGAACTATAGCATCATGATATCTGTAATACTGATCTTGTTCCCTGCTCTTTGAGAGTTTGCGTTATATTTTTCATGACATAAATCTCCACAGACAGAATAGCGAGGGTAGAATAAGCACATACACAGGCACATTCAGCCCTCACCCCAAGACCTCCAAAGACTTGTTGGGGCCCTTTTTTTAAAACAAAAAACAACAAAAACACCCACACAATATTATGAAGGATTCAGGAGGTATCACCTGTCACTAAGGTACAGACACGTTGCCTGAAAGCACTTTTAAATGAAAGCACAGAGAAATACAGTGAATTATGGCATGCACTATGATTCTTCAGAGATGCTCCCAGAGAGCTACACGCTTGTCACACTTACGGACAGCACAACACAGCAGTACAAATACAATTTGACAGCACAGCTCACTACCTGTCTCCTTTTCCTCTCCTGATAAAAGTTTCCACTTTCCCCTGGCGTATAGAGTTGAGAACTCTTTATACGCTTTCCACACATTCCCGTACCACTTCGCCACCTAAACTCAGGAAATACAAGCTCTAAGGTATCAAACCTCCACATACATTCAGCTGTGCCACTGCAGCACAAAGGATTTGCTATAATTATACAAATATCCAACTAATAGAAGAATCGGAGTCAAATATATAGCTACGCAAACAGGCAATCCAAAAGTCACCTACATCGGCCAACGGCTTGCTCCAAAATTCAAACAAAAACGCCTACCAACCTCCTCTGATCCGCACTACAGCTGGTTCTTACTGTGCACATTATAGGTAACGCACCCTATTTCCCACAGGATGCAAATAAGAGCTCAAAGTGAACTACCCTCCAGGAAAGTATTCTGAAGCAATAGAGAGGGTATAATTAACAGCATACAAACACACCAGACATCAGGTCTCTTCTCCAGTTATTTACCTCTAAATCAATCGTTTAGACTGATTCATCATACACTTCACCAGACTAACTGAGAAAGCTGAAAATCCAACAAGCTTTGGAGGACGTAGGTGCTTCTGAGGGCCTGGATCAGATGGAAAGGTTTTCTGTGCCTCCGATCGTCCAACCGCATCAATTAGTTTAATAAGCAGCATTACCTCTCCCAGTAAGTCTTGCCTGGCTTAAAAACCCCTCGAGAAGTAACGCCTCAAGCCTGCATTACATAATTATTCACCAGCTTCTCAGCAGAAAGAATTCCAAAAAAAACAATCAGAAAGTTGCTGCTTTCTAGAAACACCTGCACACCGCGTCCGGGCGGCACACTCACGCCCCAGAAACACGCACACCCACACAAACGCTGCCTCCTCTGGCTCCGGGGCAGCCGGGGGCGGCGGGCAGGACCCCCGCTCGGCGCC